CACCAGTTAGGATGGCCAACATCCAAAAGACAAACAACAATATGCTGGCCAGGATTCCCACTGCTGGTGGGAATATAAGCTAGTTCAACCATTGTGGAAAGCAGTGTGGAGGTTCCTCAAAAAACTCGAAATAGAAATACCATTTGACCCAGGAATTCCACTCCTAGGAATTTATCTGTAGAAAACAAGATCTCAGATTCAAAAAGATAAATGCACCCCTATGTGTACTGAACCACTATTTACAATAGACAAGGAAGCAACCTAAGTGTCTATCAATAGATAAATGGATGTAGTACATATACACAGTGGAATATTATTTTATCCATAAAAAGAAATCCTGCCATTTGCAACAACATGGATGGAGCTAGAGGGTTTTATGCTCGGTGAAATAAGCAGAGAAAGACAAGTACCAAATGATTTCACTCATCTGTGGAGTATTAACAGTGAAGCAAAACTGAAGGAACAAAACAGCAGCAGGCTCCCAGATTTGGGACTAGCAGTTACCAAAGGGAAGTGGGTGGGGAAGGTGGGTGGGGAGGGAGGGAGCATGGGATAAAGGGGCATTATGATTAGCACACATAATATAGGGGGCTAATGGGGAAGGCAGTATAGCACAGAGAGGTAGTGACTCTAGCATCTTACCATACTGATGGGCAGTGACTCCAGTGGGGTGTGGGGGCGGGGCTTGATAATATGAGTGAATGTAATAACCACAATGTTGTTCATGTGAAACATTCATAAGATTGTATATCAATGATACCTTAATAAAAAAAAAAGTACCAGAAAGGAAAAGTGAGTCTTCATACTTAGTTCAGCAAGAGTAGTTTGTATGTAAAAATAGTAATAAATACTGAATAGTCATCTAACAGTATGGCTAGATGAGTGGATAGAGGTAGGTGGGGAGGATAAGTATACATGTGACTATGAATGTGGGCATGGTAAATAGTAGCAAAGTTATATTTAAAACTGAAATGCTAAGAAATAACAGTATCAGCATGTTATTGAGAAATATGAGTGCAAATACCAGAGCAGTAGGGAAAATACTTGAAAATGGACTCTCAGGGAAGTGAGTGAAAGGGCAGTTAGCGGGGGAGAGACCAGACTAGGGACTGCATTTTTCATTACAAGCCCTTTATTGCCATTTGGTTTTTTAAACTATGTACATGCATTAATGTGATAAAAATTTAAATTAAGTAAAAATTAAAGCAAGACAGAACAAAAAAATAACTCACCTGAGGTCACAGAGCTGATAAGGGACAGAGCTTTGACTCGAACCCAAGTTTGTTTGATTTCAGAGCCCATGTTTTCAAGAACCAAGTGATATATTTGCTTTTAAGTATCAAAAGTATTTTTGAAGTATTTTCTTTATTAAAGTATCACTGATATACAATCTTATATGTTGGTTTCAGTTATACAATGCAGTGATTCAACAGTTAACCATATTATTAAATCCTCACCCCTTCTAGTGCAGTCACTATCTGTCAACATAGTAAGAGGTTACTGAATTATTAACTGTATTCTCTGTGCTGTACTACCATTCCTGTGACCAATTTATATTGTGATTGTGAATTATTGTGCCCCTTTATCCCCTTCCTCCTACCCCCTCAACCCCAAGCCCTCCTGCTTGGTAACCACTAGTCTCTTCTTGGTGTCTTTAAGTCTATTCCTATTTTGTTCCTTCTGTTTTGCTTTGTATTTATACTCCACAAATAAGTGAGATCATTTGATATTTGTCTTTCTCCACTTGGCTTATTTCACTGAGCATAATACTTTCTAGCTCCATCCATGTTATTGTAAATGGTAAGATTTCTTTTCTTTTTATGGCTGAATAATATTCCATTGTGTATATGTAACACATCTTTATCTGTTCATACACTGATGGACACTTAGGTTTACAAAGTGAAATTTTTTTAAAAATGTGGTCAACACGGTCCAATTAAACATACAGATCAAGGAATGATTGGTGGATGGAGGATGGGAACCTACGAGAGAAACTGAATGTGTTAATTTGGACATCTGCTGACCAAGAAGAGCAACTTCAGATGTAGTAAACGTCAAGATTGTCAGAGGTTAAAAAAACTAAATGAACTGTGAGTTTAGACAACTTTTTGTAGATGTGCGAGAGTCATAAGAAGGAAGGGGGAGTGAGGACAGTCCCTAACTATGAGGAAGAAGAGGGGTTGTTAGAAGGCTCCTTTAAAGTTCCAAGGTATCATTAAGTAGTTTTAGAAAAGTGAGATTTATCTTTATTATGTCACCATATTTGTACAATGGAATGTTTGGCCATAAAAGGGAATGAAGTATTGGTGCATGCTACAACTTGGATAAACCTTGAAAACATTATGCTGAGTGAAAGAAGCCAGTCACAAAAGACCATATACTATGTGATTCCACTCCCATGAAAGTCCAGAATAGGCCGATATATTGAAACAGAAAGTAGATGAGTGGTTGCTTAGGGCTGGGGTGGAGCCCAGGGGTGACAGCCAAAGGATGTAAGATTTCTTCTTGAAGTGATGAAAATGCTCCACATTTGTCTAGTGAAGGTTGCACTATCTAGGAATATACTAAAATCATTGAGTTATACACTTTAAATGGGAATGATATCCCAATAAAGCTGTTAAAAAACATGTCGCCCATAACCCTACTGTATCAACCCAGTTACCATTTTTATTTTCTTGGTTATTTTTTACTAGAGGTAAATTGGTCTAATTTGGAGAAGTTCTTGTGTAAAGAGGTGAGTTTGAAGGAGGAGCATTGTCATTTTAAAAGAGAATTAGAAGAAGAGAGATGGCGTATTTGAAGGATTGGTGGTAGAACAAAGCAAATAGAGTGACCGAAGCAGAAACAGGTTTCCTAGTTGTGGATGGATTGACCAGTAGAAGTAAACAATATTGAACAGTGACTTGTAAGTTCATATTGAGGATTTAAAAAATTTTTCTTACTGTGCATCTACTATAAACCATGATACTATTTCTATCTTTGGGGATACATTAGTGGACACAGTAGATTAAAAAATACCTTCACTTAGTGAGCCTCCACATTCCAGTGTGGGAATAATAAATAAAAGATGGTGGTTAGTGTTGCAGAGAAAGTGGGTTAAGGGAGTGCCAGAGTGGTCCAAGAAGGTGACCAAGAGCCCTGAGGAGAGGGGGCAGGCCAGGGAGATGAATGTGGGAAGGGCATTACAGCAAAGAGATGCCGGAGCAGTGGCTCTGAAGGAGGGGTTTGCCTGGTGTGTTTGAAGAGTGCCACAGAGGCCAGTGACGCTGGAGTAGTGAGCAGGGGGAGACCAGCAGGTGAGGTCCTGGAGGTGACGGGGTAGCCAGGTCAGGTAGGACCTTGAAGGCCATTTTAAAGACCTTGGTTCTCTGAGTAAAATGAAAAAACACTGGAGGCTTTTGAGCAGAGGAGCTTTGTGTTTTGACTTATATTTTAAATAACCATGTGTGCCAACACTGTGTTGAGACTGGACTTCAGGGGGTGGAGTTGCGAATGGCAGCTGGGAGACTGGTCAAGAGGCTCTCGTAACCATCTGGCAGAGACGGGGTTGGACCAGGGCAGTATTGGCACAAGGGCTTATTAGATTCTAGGCACTTGGGTGGTAGAGCCAGTAGGATTTGCTGATGGATCATGTGTAGTATGTAAGACAGAAAGGAGTAAAATTTCTCCAAACAAATTTTTTGTTATAAGCAACTGGCAGGATAGAGTTAGTAATTATTGGGATGTAAAATTCTGAAAGAAGAGCAGGTTTGGTGATAGGGGGTAAATAACAGGAACTCAATTTGGGGCTTAGTAAGCTTGAGAAACCTGTTAGGCATCCAGGTGGAGATACACAGTAGGCAGTGGGATATGTATGGGTCAGTGCTGGAGGGTAGTGTCAGGACTGGAGGTATGAATTTGCAAAAAACCATTAGAGTGTACAGGTATTTACAGCCATGAGCCTTCATGAAGTCACCATGGCAATAAATAGAGATAAAGATGAGGAAGAACTAGCAGTGACTGAAAATTAATGACCTGTGAGAAAGGGGAAAACCTAATCTTGTGGAAGCCAGATGAAGAAAGGCTTCAAGGAGGAGGCAGTAAGCCTTCTGGGGTTAAGAGCAGGAAAATGGCATGTAGAAGAAACAATTGTGATTACCTTTTCACTCCTTTTACAAGATTCTTCCCCAAAGAACAAGACTATAAGCAGATAGATACCAGGAAGAAGAACACAGGAGTAGGTCATTATGTCATCTCTTGACTTGCTCAGAGTCAGAGTGGATTGACAAAGCGTGCTTGATAAGAAAGCAGCTTTCCCCAAAGCTGATAAAACTCTCCCCCCGACGCCCACTCCGTCCCCACTACTGCTCTTGCTCTTTACCTCTTCCCTGCTCCCCATCACCTTCCCTTATATGACATGGTATTCACCCCCCTCTACCCCACCCCACTGTGAGGTTTATATTCTTGAAAATTTCTGTGATAAGATTGTTCAGAATAAAGGAACTCCAGGTCTTTGTTATCATTTGGAATGGAGATGGTGAATAAACCTTGTAAGTAATTTTTATTTCTTCTCTAAGGTAAAGCAATAAAGCAAAGCACAGTGAATAAAGATAATATCAATGGCTTTGTATTTATCTCTGTTTCCCACAGTGGGCCCTTGACTTAATTTCTCCTTTCGATCTCTTGCCCATTAGAGACTTTTCTGCATCTCCCAATTCTATAATTTCAGTAAAAGAATTGTGAATTTATTTTGCATTGTTGCAGATAACTGTTATACTAAGGAGGCTTTTTAAAAATGTGTTTATCCATCCAAATAGTAAATGTTTCTGATTTTATTTGAAAATAATGAGGAAGAATGCCTTGTGAAAAATCAGAAGTCAGAATCTAAGGGTTCGGAGCTACTTTAAAGAATACTACACTTCAGAAGATCACATTCTCACCACAAGGGAACCAGTATGTACATCCTATACTGTTTTTTTCCTTTCCTAGCCTTTCATTCTGAATTTTTGTCTATTTGACAGGTGTGAGAAAGACAGCATGAACTTTACTCCAACACATACCCCTGTCTCCAGAAAGTAAGACATTTGCTTATTCTTGAGTTGTTAAAATGAATAATCAAGACTTCTATAGCCTTAGCTGTAAGTTACGTTGTGGAAAGTAAGCTTAGGAACTAGAATTGGGGAACTCCCAGATTCCCAAGGGTGCTTCCAAACTCTACATTAAACCTAATTTTTCTATTCTTCTTACATGGAATTTAAATTAAAAACCAGGGTATATTAAATGTTAATACTAGAATCTGGGTGGTTTGAGTGGGCCTCGTACAAAGCCAGTGGGTCCTGGATTACACAAAAAATAACCAGTGTACAAACACAGGGGACTTTGAATTTTGGTTCTGCTATCAACTGGCTGCATGACACATCATCCTTATCCTCTGCAAAATTCAGAATGACCTCTTAGTTCATTTCTTAACCTATTTCCCAGGGCTGTCGTAAGGCAACCCCCTTTGAAAACATGAAACATTAACTAAGATAGTATTTCTGTCAATCTTTTGATGATCGAGAAAATAGTAAATTCTCTTTCCTTCATGCTAGCTGAAAGTGAATTTTAATATCTCTTCTTACAGGCTTACTTATTAAAAGTGCTGACAATAACCTTCACTAACTACAACTCTGGGCTTCTGGTATTTTCTTCACTCGGCTGTTTTGTTATGTTGTAAATTGCAGTTAGTTAACCAAAGTGGATTGATTTTCATGTGAAGGTTTTCTGCATCATCTGTTTTCTAACTTTCATTGTTTTAGTTTAAATCTGTTTGCTAAAAGCAAATAAATGAAAGCACTTCCTTGTCCAGCCTTTGATTAGCCTTTGATCTCATCTGCTCTTGGTTTGTTTAATTTAAATGTCTCCCCGTGCTAGAGATTGGTATCTGGTGTAGTTGTGTGGTACTAACTGGGCTGTATTTTCTAATCCTGAATCTTGTATTTGTCATTGCCTTCCTTACTAACTTTGCCACTTAGATACCTATTCCTAAAAATAAACTTTCATTTTGCAAGTTCCAATCTTAAATAAATGCTAATATCTTCTATATATGCACCTACCTTCATTTTTCCATTTAATATTGTTTAGATGATACATTCATATTCATACATGTATTTCTAATTGATAGTTTCTAGTAACTTCAGATAATAGTCCATTGTATAATCATACAATATATACGTAATGTTATCCCATTAAGTATAATCCCATTGTATAATCATACAATATATACTTAATGTTATCCCATTAAGTAGACATTTGGAAGGCTTACTGTTTTTGTTATTACAAATAATGTTACTATAAATATTTTCATTGTGTCAGTCACCTTGTACATATGTGATGAGTTTCTTACAAGAAAAATTGCCATTTTACTAGATTTTGCCAATTTACTCTCTGTAGTTATACTCCACCAGCAGTTGTATAAGTGTTCTTGTTAGTGTGTCTTAAAGTATTACATTTTATGTTACTCTTTGATCTTACTTAGTTTACTTTTTTAAAAAAATTATCTTTTTACTCTCTAACATGTATTTTTCCTTTTTTGAGTTGATTTTTAAAAAATTAAAGTATCATTGATATACAATCTTATGAAGGTTTCACATGAGCAACATTGTGGTTTCAACATTCACCCATATTATCAAGTCCTCACCTCCCCAATGCAGTCACTGTCCATCAGCATAGTAAGATGCTATAGAGTCATTGTCTTCTCCATGCCATACTGCCTTCCCCGTGACCTGCCTTTATTGTGATTGCAAATTATAATGCCCCTTAGTCCCCTCCTCCCTCCTTCCCCACCCACCCTCCCCAAACCCTTCCCTTTGGTAACCACTAGTCCCTTCTTGGAGTCTGTGAGTCTTCTGCTATTTTGTTCTTTAAGTTTTGCTTTGCTGCTTTACTCCACAAATGAGTGAAGTCATTTGGTACTTGTCCTTCTCCACCTGACTTATTTCACTAAGCGTAATACCGTCTAGCTCTGTCCATGTTGTTAGAAATGGTAGGATTTGTTTTCTTCTTATGGCTGAAATTATTCCATTGTATATATGTACCACCTCTTCTTTATCCATTCATCTACTGATGGACACTTAGGTTGCTTCCAAAGCTTGCATATTGTAAATAGTGGTGCAATACACATAGGGGTGTGTATGTCTTTTTGAATCTGGGATCTTGTTTTCTTCAGGTAAATTCCTAGGAGTGGAATTCTGGGTCAAATGGTATTTTTATTTTAAGTTTTTTGAGGAACCTCCATATTACCTTCCACAATGGCTGAACTAGTTTACATTCCCACCAGCAGTGTAGGAGGGGTTCCCCTTTCTCCACAGCCTTGCCAGCATTTGTTGTCTCTTGCCTTACGGATATTGGCCATCCTAACT